CTAACAACCCTAAAAATTCCTGTAATAGCTTTGGCTTTTGGGGGCTGGGGAACCTTAAATCTTATCTATAATGGCAGCAGGCATCACCTTTGTCTTACCCTACCAAACAACACCCAAGAATTCGACAGACAATCCAGGTCCCTGGATTTTATTGGAATCTGCTGCCCATCCTCAGCCAACAACAGAGGAGCAGAGTGTTCTAACTCTGTAAGAAAATCAGAGGTTAGCATGATGTCATCAACATAACGATGCAGTTTCATAGAGGATGATGTAGTCCATGCAGCCACAAGACCATGACAAACAGTAGGGCTATGCAAGTAATCCTGGGACAAAACAATAAATGTCCATTGGTGGCCTTCCCAGGTGGAGGCAAACTCATCCTGGCTATTGGGATATAAGCCTATTAAGAAGAAGGCACTGGTTAAATCTAGTACATAATGTTATGTGCCCAGCTCATGGATGAGCTGGTCTAGGAGGATAGCTATGTTAGGCATGGCTCCAATGAGAGAGGGAAATACCTTACTTAGTTCCATATGTCTACAGTCATGTGCCATGCTCTATCTGGTTTTTAGACTGGCCACACAGATGAGTTGTAAGAGCCATGTGCCAGTCTGATGATATTCTCCCTAGCCAACTCTTCTGTGGTCTCCCCAATTTCCTTATGGCCACCTGGAAGGTGGTATTGTTTGGTGGCCGCTACCCTATGGGGAGTGGGAAGTGACACATGGTGGTGTTTGGCATGCCCCCGTGTCCCCCCAAAAAACTGTCTTCACAACCCATATTCAGACACATAACTCACCCACAGTGGTCTATAAGTACATGCTGGCTAGAATGTCAATTCCTAGGACATACTCTGGAATAGGGGAAACATGCCTTATAGGAGCATGGTGGTAAATGCCCTATCTCAAGGGTTAATGTCACATCTCCCACGAATAGATTGTCCTCCATAGCCATCAGTGACATTCTGGGTCCTTTAAACCTCTCTGAATTACCATAAATAAGAGTACATTTTGTACCAGTATCAACTAAAGCCAACACTCTTTGTACATTCTTTGGGAACCAATAAATAGCAAGTTGTACATGTGGCCTCCAGTCCCCACTGAGTCCCTGTAAGCAGGTCCTTTGGCCATCCCCCTATGCAAAGGTCCCTCCCCATGGGTCATCCTCTGGGTAGGCCAGTAGCAACTCTCCAAGTGGAGCAGCCATAAAGTTAGCCAAACAGGGTGTGGGCTCTGGGGGTGCTGATGGGACTGTTTTGTTGGATGATGTCCATTCCACCATTTGCACAGATATCACTTTAGGCTGGAAATGTTGCTCAGGTTTCAGTTGCCACCACAGGCTTACAAGACATAGTTGGGCTTTTTGTTTATTTTGTCTTTGCCTGGCCTGGCATTCCATGGCTGTTTGTGGATTAGCTTCACATGGGCCTTTCTCCTTACTTTTCACAGTTAAATTCTCTACCCTTTTTCCTTCTTTGTCCTTTTTTTCTACAGGTCGTATTCCTTTCTGTGTCTCAGTAATTCTACCTTCCTTAAGTCATCAACTGTGTGCTAGTTACTGTACATGATCACCCACTTTGGTGGGCAAAATAGGTATCAGGACGCCAGGGTAACTCAAAGGCACTGTATGTACAACCTGATCCCTCATTCCTGCAGTAAACCTCTCCATATATGGCCCATTAGACTGTGGGTTATAGATGGCATGTCCCATGCCTAGCTCCCAGATGAACCGCTAGAGCTCCAATAAACTGGTCCAGTGTGGATTAGAAAAGGGTAGAGCTTCCTCATTAGGCCACACTGCTCTGCAGCCAGCCATTGGCCACAAGAGAAAGGTATCTTGAGTTCTGGCCCCATGGATCCTAAAGACGGGTGGGTGGTGACTGAAGACATATTTTAAATCATCCCCAGTAAGCAAAATGCCATCAGCCCCTGTTTCCCACAGCCACACTAACCACCCTGCAATTGATTCAAACACCTCTGTCTGAAGTTTGCAGCCAGCTCTACTAGTTTGGTGGGGGTATGTGGGCATACCATGGTATGCAAGGTCTGCTGGGAAGGTGACACTCGAACACCCTGTGGCACCCATGGCTGTTGGGTCTTAATCTTCTGGATCATAATAGGATGACTCATAAACTTTCCTTCTACCTTCATATCCTCCCCGTCCTCATCCACGATGATCTCTCCATCTAGTCACTTTCACTTTCAGCCATAGGATCCCTATTACGGGGATTCCAATCATACTGTGCCACAATTACTCGTAATCGGGTGGATGCTAGTTAGCCCCCACCCACCCCCTTATACCCTGGCAAGTGGCATGCTAGGTCCTACAATTGCTCAATGGTCTTTTCTAACTCTCTCCCTAAGATGCCCTTATTCTCTGCTGGTAAAAGACACATATCTCTCTCTAGTTCCAGTCTCTCTTCAAATGTGCAGCATGTGTCTCTGCCTCTATCTGCTTCTCAGTCATATTCTACAGCGCTGGCAGCATCAGCCAAACAAAGGCAGTGGTAACATGTCAGAGGTTGTGATTTTTCCCTAGGGTGCAATGTGCTCCTACACACTGCAAGGCCTGTAGGATGCCAACAGGAGTTTCAGAGGTGACCCCCAGTCCTGTGATGGTCCCCATGAATCAAGAAGGTCTGCCACCTCTTGATTCTGTAGCAGAAAATTCTGCCACAGAATTTTCTGGCCAACCCAGGATTCCCCCAGGCAACTCCCCAATCAGCATAGTGTTGTTCATGGTTGACTGCACTCATGGATTTTTTTGGAGTATCCAAATCCTGCTGCTTACACCAAATGTAATGCAGGAGGTCAAGCCTGGGGATCTCAACCACTTGTTTGGGTGAACTGAAAAAACCACGAGGAGGACCTCATAGAGCAGACATAGCCTTTATTACTCACATTACAGGTAGCACCCATGGCAACAAATTGGCAAAGCAGAACAACCCCCCCCATCCCCCCACCCCCCACCCCCATCTGAGGCTCATTATAAGGGGCTCTAGACAAAGGTGTCATGGGTCCAAGTTACACAAACGTGCATGTAGTCTGGAATCACATTACATCAGTGTGTACACGCAGGAGGGAAAGGTCAAGAAGTAGTTACCAGGCAGGAAACCCATCCTCAAGGAAGATAAGGAGGGAACTACATTCCATTCCTCAGGGCAATACACATTCCTTCTGGCCAGGGGTATGGGCCATGTCCAGCATTAACCCCACACCACCCCATTTATCTATAGTGTAAATTAAAAAAAAAAAACTTACATCTTTCTTCCCCACACTTGTGGTCTAAAGGAGCCCAGCAACTCCAATATTGCAAACATGTTTGTCTTTCCCACCTACTCCTGCTGCTGATGGTTCAGATGGCATGCTCCAGGACCTGGTCCTATTCTAGCTAGTATTTGGCTCAATAAGCCCTCTCTTTCAGAAAAGCTTTTGGCTGTGAAAGTTTCTCATTTAACACTCCCAAATCAGATAATCCAAAATCATTTCTATTTAGCTTTACAAAAACAGTTTATCTTTTAAAAAAGTTTTACATTAGCTAATATACTACTTGCTTGCTTCTCCTATGCTGATTGACCACTGTAAGGAAATACCTACCAGAGACATTATTTGGCATGAAGAAACCACCCTGGAGTTCTGAATAGTTTAATGTGTTACCCTTCAAGGGCACTGCTTCAGAGTCCTATGGAAAGGGTGAAAGGAAGGGGGGAAGGAAGGAGATGTAACCAAATAGGAAGTATGCAGTCAAGATTTGGGAGGAGTAAGCAAAATATTACTGAATAATTGTGCCTTTTAATGCAAACTGTCTTTCATTAAGAGCCAGAAAACAACTGAGTTTAAGGGCAGAGCACAGAACAGTGGATTAGTTGGACATAAGTGGGTGGGTTTTCAACCTAACATAAAAATGAACTTTTCTATAAATAGAGTGACTCATTCAGAAAGGGTGTGCTTGTGTGACTTGTGGTTCCTCAACAATGGCTGTGTTTAAGCCCAAGTGGCATTATCTTGTGAGAAAAGTAGTAAACATATTTTTCAGTTTGAAATTTGTTATTAAAGCTTACTCTGTACAAAACATGTGCTGAATATGAGGAGGAATCAAACTGAGATATTCTCTCTGCCACTTGTAAAAGCTGTGTTCCTTACACTTCACTGTGCACACACGTTCCCCCAGGGTATTGTTAAAATGAAGATTTCAGTTTTATAGGATGAAGCCCAAATTTTGCATTTGGAAAGAGCTCCTAAGTGAGCCAGTGCTGCTGGTCTGTGTAATACATGTTGAGCACAATGGTTGCTAGTAGGGAATGAAACACTCATATAATTGTAATACAGAGTAAAACTTATTAAATACCACTAATTATCAGTAAAGGCCTGGATTTGTCCCAAACCCAGGACTGTCTTTGCCCTTTTCTGCCTAGTATTCCTTCTGTTGTTTTTGTCGTTGCTCTCCTTGAATTTAATTTCTTTGGGGGTGCTCATTGCATATACTGTTTCTTAACTTGGAATAGCGTTTTCATTCTTTTTAGACTGACGTTTTACTAATTTGAGGTTTATCTCCTGATCACTCCTTCCCTAGGCCCGCAGTTTGGCTGAAGGTTCCCTAGAACTCGTAAAGTGTTAACTATGAGCAATCCAGCCTTAATTGAGAAGTCCGGTTTCTTATTCCCTCCAAGAACCCACCTTTCAGGGTCGCCAACAACAAGGAAACCGGGGAGGGGGCCAGGAAGAAAGCAGCGCCACTTCTCCTGTTACTGAACACCAGAGCCAGGGTGGCAGCCTCGAGTGTCATTCAGAGCTGTCATTCTTGTCCTCTACACGGCAGCCCTGGGGACTCAGCAAACCCTGTTTCCCGAAGCGGTCCCGCAAGCTGGTGGCTCCGGTCTGGCCCGTAGCTGACTGCGGGCGGGCGCCCCAGCCAGGCGCGGGAGGCTGCAGTGGGCTGTCCACCACTGGGGTGGCGGCGGTGGCTCGGGAGGCTGGCGGGCGCAGGCGCAGCGCCGCGCAGTGCTCCTGACGGGCGCTCAGAGGGCCGCACCGCCGGCCTTGTAGCCATTTTAGGAGGAAACCCAGTTTGCTAGCCCTGGGCGCGGTTTCGATTTCAATAACTTTATTGGTGGCTTTATCATCAGAACACCGATCGCACCGGCAAGTGGGAGAGTAGGGAGCGCTTCACGGAAGGTGACTGGAATGTGGGCGTGGGCATGGGCGCGAGTATGCGGGGGAGTCCCCGAAAGCGGGTTTCCTGAGCAGTGGCTCGCGGAAGTGTTTCGGGGTTCCCCGTGTTTCTGGAGTTCCTGGAGGCTCCGGAGGGAGGGGACACGGGACACGGCTTCCTTGTGGCGGAGATTCCCTTAACCGGGTCCCCAGACGACCAGGCAAGGACAGGGGTGCCTCTGACTCTGCTGCGGGGGTGTTTTTGTTCCCCATGGCAGGTGGTCTCCGACTGGAGCTGCAGCCATGGGAAACACCACCAGTGACCGGGTGGCTGGGGAACGCCATGGCGCCAAGGCTGCACGCGCTGAGGGCGCCAGCGGCCACGGCCTGGACAGGGAGCATAAAATCATGGTGGGCAGCACAGATGACCCCAGCCTCTTCAGCCTACCGGACTCCAAGGTGAGCGTCCCCACGCCCCCAGTTGGTGGCGATTCTGCAGCGGCCTGGGTGTCAGGGTTCCTCCTCCCTTTCTTAATTCTCATCACACTGACCTGGGGTTACGGTTTCTCGAATTAAAGGGATTTTTCGGGAATGGGGATGTTGGATGGCAATTCCTCTTGCAATACTGCCTCAAAATAGAAGTAAAAGTTTTTGTTTTCCGACTAATCTGTTGGCTACATTTTCAGGATGAGGACAGTAGGACCCCTGCCCCACCCCATCTTCGGTTCTCCTTACAGTCAGGGTATCCTCTTCTAGAGTATGGGTTGTAAGCGCTGGTGGGAAACTTCAGTTTCTCACATTTGCCCCGAGGTGGGTAAATGAAAGGTTTTTTCCTGTCAACTTCCACGTATCAGTACCTTTTTTGACCTTTTAGGAGCTCAGCACTTCTGATTCTTTCCCTCTTGGCTTGACTGTAAGCAACAACCACTTGCTTGTTTGAATACTTTCTCTTATCCTCAGAGATCAATAAAGGACATCGCTGCGCAGTTTTCGTCTCATTCTATAGCAGTGGTGGCTAAGGTTGTGCTTCTTTCGCAGTGGCAGAGCGCATAATTCCAGGATTTCTCCATTTCCCAGTAGTATTTGAGAATGTTACCATGGCTGAAAATGACCACCCATAGCCACTCAGAAGACCTTGATCTCAGTTCCAAGAACTTTCAGGAAAACAGCACCTTGTGTTCACTCTACGGAAAGGCTAAACGGAGCTGACAATGTGATTACCATTCAAATGTTTCTAATCACTTTTACAGCTGTTAGCATTAAATTAAATGCATTAAGGCCAACTGGGATGAAGTAGAAAAATGCAGGGATTGAGGAGATTGGAGTGTGTTTGATGTTTCTTATCTCTTTCAGAAAGTAAATAGAGAATGATTTTCCAAGTTGGTAGCACATGGAATTTGGTTATTTTCTTGGATCTCAACTGAGAACACAATCAGAGAAAGTGAAATGAGGATGATAGAATGACCATTTTGGAGGATTTCTTCTCTGTTCCTTTCTTCTCCCACTTCAGGACTTCTTTCTCATCATTTGGGCTGACCACCCAGCCATCTGAATTTACTTTGTCAAGGTGATCTACCTCACTGTATTTTTACCCTTTTCTTACATCGATGACTCAGGACTAAAGTATAGTTCAGTTGTCAAACTGTGACTGCAGTAATCGGTGTCCTGAATAAAAGCCAGATTGCTTTTTCTGAAATAGAGCCTATTTTGGACCATTCTTTCCTTTATCTTAGTCTTGCCATTTGTGAAATAATAAAATTGGTTCAGATAATTCCTAAAGTCTCTTCCAACTCTAAGATTTTATAGTTCTCAAACTATTGTCTCTACTTTTTCTCTCAATGTTTTACTTAGACATTTCAAACTGTAATTCTAATTGTTTTGTCTCTTTTCCTGATGACTTTGCTATTTAACCTGGAATAAACAGTCTTTCTGTTAGTTAGTTATACTCTTGCTAACACAGAAGTGTATGTCCTACCTGGAAGGGCTTCTTTCCAAAGCTAGGCATATCAGTAGTTTGTAGCTTTCAATTTTTAAATTGTAAATCCTAAATCATAAAAGTAACTGATAGAAACAGTGGTAGTGAGGCCTGTGTTGCTTGCAATGCCTGCCTTCCTCAGTTCTCAATTCTGTTTACACATTAAAATCACCTGAGATTTGTTTAAGCACTTTATGGAAAATTTGAAACATTTTTAATGTTTCAAAGTATAGGGAGAAGAGTCTAATGAATTCCTAAATACCTGTCACCCAGTTTAAACAATGATCAACTCATGAATGAATTTATTTCATTTATACCCAATTCACTCCCACCAATTATTTTGAAGCGAGTTCTAGACTTACCAAATATTGTTTTATCTAAATATTTTAGAATGTATCTCTAAAGATGAGGGTTTTTTTCTTTGTTTAATATGTCATAGCATTATTATATGGGAAACTTAAAGAGATTCCCAGGCCCTATGTCCAATTATAATCTGAGGATTATTCTTAGGCATATGTAGAAATTTTTGTAATTCTAACACAGCCTGTCGGACAAGAGTGCATTGCTTTAAGAATATGAAGACCAGGTTTTCCCTTTAGCCACTTATATAATGAGAAAGTCCCTTTATTTCTCTTTCTGTGTTTACCTCGGATTATGCTGTGACTGGTGTCTGAGTGCAGTTTCAAGGAATACTGAGTGGCAGTGTGGAAGGTAGAATACCCTAGCCATCTTGAAAATGAAGCCCAAATGAATAAGCCAGTCCTATTTTTAAACCCACATTATTTTATTTGGTAATATTTTGAATCAATACTGTACAGTCTTTTTTCCTACTTACCAACATCATTTAAGCCAATGCAAAGTGGAGATAAGCAAACTTTTTTCTGTAAAGGGCCAGATAGTAAATGTTTTAAACTTTATGGACCATAGAGTTTCTTAAAACTACCCAGTTGTGCCACTGTAGCATGAAAGTAGCTGTAGATACTAGGTAAATAAATAACTGCTATTTTCCAATAAAACTTTGTGTAAGTATCTGGCTCACTGGCCATAGCTTGCTAATTCTTCTTGTAAAGAATGGTTTGTGGTGTAGAGACTATTCCAGACATAACCTCTGTCTGACCTGCCAGCTAGATCCACCTCCATCCAGGCCAGAACAAAGATTGCTTTCTGTAAATCCCCTCAGAGGCTTTCTGATCGACCCCTGCCCTATGTCCCAGATGTGCTGGTCCCTGGAACAGGCCATTGCCCTGCCCTGGGCAGGCACTAAGGCTGTTTCCCCTTATCTGGGGCAGCTCTTGCCTCAGTACCTCCATCCATTCTGCTCTGTTCTATACAAATCTTTAGTGTCTGCTCTATCAGATTTGGAATATAGCCACATTACCATATCTTGCTGATGCCCAAGATATGAGCCTCATGTTAAGTTCCCTTAGTAAGTTCTTGATGTAGTGATGGCATTGTCAGCTTCTTCAGTCTCTCTGCGCCAGGAAATTTTCCCAACATGGTAATGAAAAGAAACTACGTAAGTAGTCAGTTTTTAGAATCCTGCAGACCTCATTTAATATTGGAACTGTTTTTGTTGAAGATAGTTGTATTTTTGATCTGATGCTCCTTTAGGCTCCAGAAATTTCATTTATACTCTTGAAATAATTAGTATAAACCTGACATAGGTGAGCAGATAAGGTTTCAAAATCACTACCAAAAATTTAAGAAACCAATTATTTGGTTTTTATATTTTTAATGTCCTTTGTAACCTATTAGCTAAATTGGAGTTGTGAATTTCAGTATCTCTAACTTCCATTACAATAATAATTGAGATCTTTTCATACTTGCATGTGAAAAATATACAGCTAACTTAATTATTTTCATAGAACCATACTTTGTTTTTACATTTTTTCTCTTAATAGGCAATCAGAGGCATATCATAGTTGCGCACCTGTGAGTGAATGTGATAACAGGAAATAGACTTGGAAGTTAGGACATGATTTGGGCAGCCCTTGAACATAAGACATTTGAATATTTTGGTCCGAGATGAGTTATTTTTCTCTAGTGTGTTCAAAACCTTATTCAGTTGCTAAGTTCAGAGCTCATTGATCCTTAGCAGAAACCTAGCACTCCTCTCTGCCTTAAGGAGGAGAGTGACCTTTTAAGAATTCCTGGGTCACAATTTAGGGATGACCTAATCCTTCTTACAGCTCCCTGGGGACAAAGAGTTTGTATCCTGGCAGCAGGATTTGGAGGACTCCGTAAAGCCCACACAGCAGGCCCGGCCCACTGTTATCCGCTGGTCTGAAGGAGGCAAGGAGGTCTTCATCTCTGGGTCCTTCAACAATTGGAGCACCAAGATTCCACTGATTAAGAGGTGAAGACAAGCATTTTGATTGAGTCTACAGAGTCCATAGTAGAGACCTGGCTGGATCACTCTTCTCCATCTGCTAGGGACATGAGCATTTTGTGACCAGTAACTATATCTTTGACTTTTTTTTTAACCTCATAGTGAGTCAGGGTTATTTTACCACTTAGGTATTTTACCACTCAGAGGCATTTACAGCTTTGTGGGTACATTTTTTAGGACTCTTAATTCAAGTCCTTTCTATCCTTGTAGCAAGTATTCTATAAGTAGCTGAGTCTAGTTGCTCTGATTTCTACACTAAAAAACATATTGTGAAGTTCTAGGTAGTAATATTATTTGTTGCCTGCAGAACAGTAATAAATTATTTAACTGGTAATCAGAAAGGCCTACCTATCAGTATGTAATTTTCCAGAAGATGCTTATCAAAATATGGAAGAATACCTGGAGCCACTTTTGTATCCTGAACCTACTGATACCTTATTTACACTTGTGAGGGATCTGTTCTGCTGAAGCAAAATAGTTCTATTAAGGTAAACCATTTTGGGAGAATAACATCTTTATTCTATTCTAGATTTTAGTTAAGAACTGAAGTTATTGGGAGGGGGTGGCAAATACATGCTGAACATGATGTAGGAAAAGAATCTGGGTTTATACATTACTTTTTTACTCCAGGGGGTACAATTGCTTACCACTATGAAAGATAACTGGTGTATTTTGATAGCCTCATGGTTTCTACATTTACATTCTGTCTTCTGAGAGGAACTTGGACTGTTTAACATTCTGTTTTCTTCTGTAGCCATAATGACTTTGTGGCCATCCTGGACCTCCCTGAGGGAGAGCACCAGTACAAGTTCTTTGTGGATGGACAGTGGGTTCATGATCCATCAGAGGTAAGGCCTAGATCTCTGAGGGTAACCACTGACTTCACAGTCTCCTCTTAGCTATTATTCCCCTTTGTGTCAAACTTCATTACTATTAGGATCAATCCATAGGCAGCAGCTCTCCTATACTGGAGGATTTCTCTTGATAAAAGAGGTGGCGAGTATGATCATATTTGAAAAGAGGAGAGTTGAGTGGAAGAGATGGATTTGAAACAGGAACTCATAAATTTTTTCCATTCACTGTTTCAGCCTGTTGTTACCAGTCAGCTTGGCACAATTAACAATTTGATCCATGTCAAAAAATCTGATTTTGAGGTATTTGATGCTTTAAAACTAGATTCAATGGAAAGCTCAGAGACATCTTGTCGAGGTAAGTTTGTAGTATTTGCTCTTTCTTGATGTATTTCTCTAATGCATGTTCCTTCTCAAGGGTGGTTGTTTTTTTAATTTTCTCCTGAAGAATCTTCTGAATTATATACAGGGTGGGTTAAAAGTAGGTTTACAGCTGTGGGTACATAAAACACAGAGTTTATTCTTATATTATTATTTATTAATAAATTATTGTATTGTTTTCCATACAAACACTTGTAAACTTGCTTTTTGCCCCATCCTGTATAATTCAGTAAACACTTAGATCTCCTTCTCTGAGACCAAAAAAATCTTAGTTTGGAGTATTTGATTTCAAATTGTTTAACCAGGATATATGGGAAGGTTTTTGTTTTACATCGCAATCCAGCACACACACACACAACTGTAACACAAGTTTTACAGAACAATTTTTGCCTTTATTACATGTGATGCACTCTATTTTCTATTTTATACTTTCTTGTTTAAGTCACTAATGGGTTATGTCCTACAGTTTAGAAAGCTATTTCTAATATTTCAAAGTTTTCACTGACCTTGATGGTGGTATCATCCAGAAGAGGCTGGTATTGTCTGGTTTGCCTCATGTAGCTGCCTCAACTTCACCCTTCCAATTGCTAGCTCAGTTGGCGGTCCTGCAGTGTTATAGGACCCCACAGTTGTGGCAGTCTTTGGGGAAGGGGGGGTAATAAAAACCCCACAAGTCTTTTGTGTGTATGTTAACTGAAATTTTGTATTTTGATTTTGGAAACATTCCTCGGGAGAGTAAAAGATCTGTATCCTTTTGTTTCTCCCAATATTAGTTTTTCCAAGGCCTTCATTTCTATTTGCATTTGCTGCCTCACTAGGAGAGTGGTTTGCTAACTATACCCACAGTTACCATTTTGTTACTTTACAATAGAGGTGAGGACTGTCTACAGAACTGTGTGCACTGTGTTCCTAGTGAGCATGCTTCTCCCTTTTGCGTTCAGAAAGGGAGAAGCATGCTCACTTACTAGCTTTGCTCCTGCATCTGCTCCTTACTAGCTTTGTCATTGCAGACAAGTCCTTTAACCTTTTTGGTTCTCAGTTTCTTATGAGTAAAACTGGAGACTTATATTCTCAGTGATTCTCGGCTGACAAGACAAAGTACCTTAAATGGGGCATATTAGAATCTCAGAGCAGTTTCCAAAAGAATAGTCAATAGTATTTTTGTTTGTTTAGAAAAATTATAAAACTATTGTTTTCATTATAAAAGCTCAGAAAATAAAGCTAGATATTCTTCTTGGGTGGTGGGGCAGTGATTAAAAAGGGTTTAAAATATTGCGTTAAATCATGAGGCCACATGTGACTAAATTTTTGCATTACATGATTTTGGCAAAGCAAACAATAAATAGTAGACATATAATCATAATAATATAGAGAGAGGACTAGCATACTTTTGATATTTCTTTCTTCCATCTTCACCCAATTTCCTGATCCATTGAACTAAGGTTTAAAATACATTTTATTTGGAATCTGAGACAATGGGTTTTAATCTTTACTCTGTGACCATTGTAACTGTGGATGTGACTTTAGGCAAATCATTTAACCAATTTTTTTTTTTTTGCTTTGGATGAAAAGGAAACAAAAAATTTTCTCAGTAGTATTTCTTAGGGGTGTTTTGTGGATCACATGACAAAATAACACTGTTTTGAAAGGTTTAAAGTTCTGTGTATTTTTAAGATATTGTTTAACGTAATGGTACTATTGCTACTCTTTTCTTTTGCCTCTCATATTCAACTGAAATCTGAGTTCTTATACTGATCTGGTTATCAAAATCTTTTTTACTAGGGATTATAAAATGCTTAAAATTTATTAAGCAAAAGGTTAGAGTTCTTCTCATTAAGGTATATTTCTTCCTTTTTTGTCTTTTATAGATTTTTCTTTTTTATTAAGCATTTTTAATTTAATTATTGTTCAAGTACAGTTTTCTATCTTTTACTCCCATCCCAGCCCACCCCCTCAGTGCTCCCCACCTCCCTCCCATTTCTACCCCCCTTAGTTTTTGTCCATGTGTCCTTTATACTTTTCCTGTGAATCCTTCCCTCTTTCCCCTGAAATTCTCTCCCCTCTCCCCTCTGGTCCCTGTCAGCCTGTTCTGTATTTCAGTGTCTTTGGTTATATTTTGCTTGCTTGTTTGTTTTGTTGTTTAGTTTCCTGTTAAGGGTGAGATCATATGGTATTTGTCTTTCAATGCCTGGCTTATTTCACTCAGCATAATGCATTTTTCAATTTTTAGGATATAATTCACATATCATAAAATTCATCCTTTTGAAGTGTACAATTCAGTGTACAATTTTTCATGTATGCATAGAGTTATGTAACCATCACCACTGTATTAATTGTAGAGAATTTTTATCACCCCAGAAAGAAACCCTGTGCTTATCAGCAGTCACTTCTCATTTCTTCCTCCCATATCCCCTGGAAACCACAGTGTAAATACTTTGTACCTCTGTGGTTTTTCCTACTTGGGACATTTCATGTAAATGGGATCATACACTATGTGGTCTTTTGTATCTGGCTTATTTCACTTAGTATGTTCATCCTGGATGTAATATGTACTAGTATTTTATTCCTTTTTATACCTGAATAAAATTCTGCTATAAGGATATATTATTTTGTTTCTCCATTCATTAGCTGATGACATTTGGATTGTTACCACTTTTTGTCTGTAATAAATAATGCTGTTATGAACATTTATGTTCAAGTTTTTGGACATATATTCTCATTTCTCTTGGGTATGTTCCCAGAAGTGTAATCTGTGGGTCATATGGTAACTTTATGTTTAATTTTTGGAAGAACTGCCAAACTGTCATTCAAAATAGCTGCACCATTTTACATACTCACCAGTAATGGGAATAGTACAAAGGTTCCAGTTTCTTTGCATACTTGCTAACAATTATTATTATTGTCAGTCTTTCTTATTATATAGCCATCTTAATAAATGTTAAGTAGTATCTTATTGTCATTTTTATTTGCATTTCCCTAATGACCACTACATTGTTCGTAATTTTGTCCTTATTGAAATCATGGTAGTATCAGTAGTCTTAGAGTTTATAACCTTGTTGTCTGTTGCTTGGGTATAAAAAAGAAGAAATCTAATCTTTTCATATTGTTTGACAGTTTACAAGGCATTGTCACATCTATTATCTTTTTTTTCTTTAATCCTCACCAGGGGATATGTTTTTTTTAACTGATTTAGAGAGAGGGGAAGGGATCGGGTATAGGGAGAGAGAGTGAGAGAGAGAAACATGGATTAGTTGTCTCCTGCACACACCCTGGCTGGGGATTGAACCCACAAACTTTTGGTGTATGGGATGATGCTCTGACTAACTGAGCCACCCGGCCAGGGCTCACATTTATTCTCTTATTTGATTCCTTTAAAAATGTTGTGAAATAGGGCAGAGATCATTTTTATTTTATGAATGGGGAAACTGACTGCAGTAGCAGGGTTTGGCCCATTCATACAGCTATAATGGATTACTTCCCAAAGCTACATCTTTTACCTCTTGTCTCCTCTATCCTCCATATCATACTGCCATGTTGAGGAACTTCTTGGTTTATGTTCATGGTGACTCAGACATTTTTTGGGGGGTTGCCTTACAGTTGTAGACCCAACATGTCACAACTTCATGATCCATGACTCTTGTAACTTTTGTATATTTATTATTAGCTGCCATGGTAATGACTTTTTTCATGCATTTTTTTTACTTGTTCTCCAACTTTCCCTTATATTTGGATAAATGTCTTCCAGATCTTTCCAGCTCACCCCCAGGGCCTTATGGGCAAGAAATGTATGTGTTTCGACCTGAGGAGAGATTAAAATCCCCTCCCATCTTACCTCCTCACCTTCTTCAAGTTATTCTTAATAAGGACACTAATATTTCTGTGAGTATCCTGAGAACGTTGCTGGGGCATTTTGGGGTCACTAGGACCATTTGAGCTAAAGTTGAGTAGCCCTAGAGGTTTGGATTATTACAAGTATGTACGTATGTGTATATGGTCTGTCCAGAGGGTATCAGCCATGTAATATGAAAAAGAGAGATATTCATTGAAGATACAAAATACAAGGAACACTGTACATAGAACAATGACATCTCAGTCCCCTTCAAAGTAGGCACTTTGGGACCTCACACCATTCTTCCAATCACCATCAGCTACCTGTCATATTTTCCTGAATCTCACTGATAGTCTGAAATCTCTTCCCTTCAAAGGTCATTTTAGTTTTGGGAAAAACGAGGAGTCACAGCATACCAAATCTGGGCTGTAGCAGGGCTGAGTCACCATTAACAATGCTGGACTTTTTCTGGACAAACTATGTATATACATATACATATACACATACACACACACATATATGGAAAAAGTCAAGGCATTAATATAATAAGAATGGTTTTCACAACATTGATGTAACCTGGCAACCAAGGAGGGTGGACTGGAATGCACATGCATGAACAATGACAACTTCACTGTACTAATGGGGGCAGTAGATGCTGTTGAGTGAGCATGTGTACTGTGTGGCCATTGCATTCAAAATGACTGAGTAGAGAGCAATGAATCTGCATCATATTTTGCATTAAATCTGGAAACTCTGTGGAAACCATTCGGATAATTCAGAAAGCCGCAGCTATGGTTAACTGGCAATTAGCAGCTTCATCACGACAATACACCCACTCATGCATCACATCTTGTGCAGAGTTTTTTTGGTGAAACATTCAATCACCCAGATGACTCAGCCCACGTACAGCCCAAATTTGGCACCCTGTGACTTCTGCCTTTTCCCAAAACTAAAATCATCTTTGAAAGGGAAAAGATTTCAGACCATTCATGAGATAACATGATAGAACAGCTGATGGTGATTGGGAGAACTGTGAGGTCCCCAAGGTACCTACTTTGAAGGGGACCAAGGCATCATTGTCTTGTGTACAATGTTCCTTGTATCTTATATCTTCCTCAGTGAATGTCTCCATACTTCATAGTACATGGCTGGGTACCTTCTGGACAGATCTTTGTGTGTGTGTGTGTGTGTGTGTGTGTTATCATTACTAAGTGTGAGCTGTGACTTTTCCAGGTACTGATGTCAAAATCCATAGTTTCTTTCTGATCCAAATAATTCAGGCGCAGAGCTATGGATTAGGAGAACTGGTTTTGGGGATTTGTATTCCAACACAAGATAAGGAATATTTATCACTTGAAGATATAGAAAAGAAGTATAAGGGTTTTTAAAAAAATAATCTGTGTCTCTAGTCAGTTCACTTGATTCCTATTAAGATTACTTTTAACCTGAATCTTCTGTATGTTGTGGGAAGGATTTTTGTCTTAGCTTTATTAAGGAAGATTTACAGATGATGAGGCTTAGAGTTTCTAGCCTTGACTCAGAATTTTCCTGATTTCCTGTAATGAGAATGTATTATTGATATATACAAGGGTGAGTTCAATATTTAAAAGAAATAATACATACTAATTTAGAGTTTCTCAATGATCGCAAAGGGCTTGGAAGAAGAGTAAAGTGCTTGGTTTAAGACTGTGCATTTAACTCCATTCGTGATTTTTTTTTCTCTCTTAGTGTGACCCAGCCTTGCTCCCTGAGCCCAATCATGTTATGCTAAACCATCTCTATGCATTGTCCATTAAGGTAAGTGGTGGGGCTGGCTCTTCACAGAGCTCCTCTAAATGGGAGGGAAAGGTAGCATGTTCTCCAGTGGTTACTTGTTCTGCTGCTTCACTGAAGCTGAGGCTGGCAGTAATTGTCAAATTATAGAGAGCTTTTTTTAACTAGTGGGTGTTTTTATTTTATTTTTTTAAATCTTAGTCTCAAAAAGCTTCTGCACAGCAAAAGAAACCAACAGCAAAACAAAAAGGCTACCAACCCAGTGGGAGAAAATATTTGCCAACAACAGCTTCTGATAAGGTGTTAATATTCAAAATATGTAAAGAACTGATGTAACTCAACACTACACAAATAATCCAATTAGAAAATGGGCAAAGGACCTGAACAGATACCTCTCCCAAGAAGACATACAAATGGCCAACAGATATATGAAAGTGTGTTCAACTTCATTAGCTGTTAGGGAAATGCAAATCAAAACTACAGAGTGATACCATCTCACACCTGTTAGAATGGCTGTTATCAACAAGACAAGTAATAACAAGTATTGGAGTGGCTGTGAAGAAAAAAGAACCCTTACTCACTGTTTGTGGGAATGAAAACTGGTACAGCCATTGTGGAAAACAGTATGGAGGCTCTTCAAAAAAGTTAAGAATAGAGTTACCATATGACCCAGCAATCCCTCTTCTGGGTATCTACCCCAAAAATTTGAAAACATTTATTTGCAAAGATATATGCACCCCTATGTTCACTGCAGCATTATTCATGGTGGCCAAGACATGGAAACGACCAAAGTGTCCTTCAATGGATGATTGGATAAAGAAGATGTGGTACATATATACAGTGGACATAAGAAAAGATGAAATATTGCCATTTGTGACAACATGGATGGACCTTGAGAATATTATGCTAAGTAAAATGTCAGTCAGAAAAAAAGAACCCATATGATTTCACTCATTTGTGGGATATAAAACTGAAACTCACAGATAGTAGTATGGTGGTTACCAGAGAAAAGGGGGTTGGGGTATTGTAAAGGGTAAAGGGGGTCCAAATACATGGTGAAGGAAGATCATTTGACTTTGGGTAGTGGGCACACATGCAGTGCAGATCATGTATCATAGAAATGTACACTTTAAACTTGCATAATATTATTAACCAGCATCACCCCAATAAATTTAATTTTAAAAGATCTTAGTCTTTATATCTATGTATGGCTAGCTGAATTTCCCTGTGGTTGAACTTTTTTGCCTCTTGGTTTCTTTATGGGTAGCTATAACCTTTTTACTATCTACTTAATTTTGAATTCATAGCACTAAAATTTCATTTGCAGGAAAAGCAAGTTTAGCTTCCAGTTCAAAGAATGCTTAAATATGATATTAAGGCTTCCATTTTTTTAAAAAAAAGTGGACACAGCTGTTTACCGGTGCCTCAGTCACATATACCTGAGTGGATGCATCTCTTTTATATGTACTACATCTGGGGGAAACATAACCAGATTTGCTGTGTCCCCTTCTAGAGTCCTTGGTTTTCCTATGCTTTAGAATCTAGGTTGAAAGTATTTGTTCAGTCTAGTAATGTCTTCGTGGTTTAGCTATTGGAATGAAGTTTTATATTACTCTGCAGTTACCTGACTAGGCTGATCATCACCAGAATCACCTGGAAAGTTTGTAAATGTGGAGATTCAGAGACTACGTCCTCAGGGACTCTGAATAAGTCCACTAGGATAGGCCCTAGTCATCTTTTTAAGCTGCTTGTATTTCTTAGGTGTGCATCAGATAAGGGAAATCACTAAGAGTATTTTCAAAATATTTATTATTGAATTTATTTTTTATAATAACCTTGTGTGGTAAGTATTATTTTTAACCCCTGTTTTATAGATAAAGAAACTAAGGCTCAGAGAAGTTCAAATTGCTAGTAAGTACCAGAGAGGGGACTGAAGTCCATTCCTCCTGTCCTTATTCCATGTTCTTTCCTAGAGATTATGCAAGGTCTTTCAAAGTAGGTCTTTCTCTTACATGCTCCTCATTTCTACCAAACCCTTCCTGGCATTGAACTTTTTACCTGCCTTGATTCTTTCATATTTAGGTTATGGTCACCATACTCGGATCACAGAATGTTAATCTGGGAAGCATTGTGGATAAACAGTATTGGGGAAAATAGGAAGATGCACTGGTTTCTCAACCGGATATTCTTGGGTTCTTTGGGATGACTTAATTTTGCCTCCTATAACTGCTCCTTGGCTATCAAGGGATGTTCACAGGCCTGCTGTCTTCTCCTATGGTATTCATGTGACCTCTAACAAACCTGGGAAATTGTACCTTATACTTTTCATGCTGGTCTTGATTATTGTAATTCACCTTGTCCTTGACCCAGATTGTTCGGGCTGTTTTCCTAGGAAGATTTTGGGGTCTACTCTATTCAAGGATAGAATAGGATTCCTGAGTCTCCTCTTGATCAGAGAAGACTTTAAGTTCATTCTTGGTTTTAAATGGAAATCAGACCTGCTTCAGGACATGGAAATGGTTTTTTAAAAGGATCACTGCCCTCTTATCATTGTATTTAAGACTTCCTTCCAGAAGTGGATGCCACAATGTTTCTTTCTTTTTTCTTTGTCAGTTTTAAACCCAGTATTCAAATTTGAAATGGGGAATGGAGTGAAATGGGAGACTAATATTTTTTCAGCACATATTTTGTCAGGTACTATGCCAGATATTCGGATGTAATCATCAGAGCCACCTTAATGGTAGGTGTTATCTTTTTAATCATGAGAAAAAAGACTTATGTAGATTATTCAAGGCCACAAACAGTAGGATTCAGAATCAGCTTAAGCTGACTTAACTCCAAAACCATCCTCTTTCTATAATATCAAACTATGACTCTTAAAAGTAAGCAACAGTGAAGGACTGATGGCTGGGAAGAACTGTGTACTGCCTGAACTAATGAGTTAGTTGCATGTTTCTTTTCCTTGCAGGACAGTGTGATGGTCCTTAGCGCAACCCATCGCTACAAGAAGAAGTATGTCACTACTCTGCTGTACAAGCCCATTTGAAGGAATCCCTCCTGCCTCCCAGGCTTCAGAAGCATCTCCCTTGCCTACCTGAGACTGGAAGGCTGATTTGCTTGCAGGCTGATAATTGTGTTTCAGAGCCTCTAAGTAGGATGCTCTGCTTTTGCATTTGGTTGAAGATGAGAGCTTTATGAATTCATGGAATTTATTTTAAGTAAAAAGTTACATATATACTGTCTGACACAATTTGAGCTTGCTATAGCAACAGAGTCTAACCTATTCTGGCGCTCTCTCTTCCATGGGACAAGCCGTTATTCAGACTTAGACAGTGTTTTAAAAAAAAGTTACATACATATATGCATATGGGAAGGAGGTTAATGGAAGTCTAGCTGGATGTATTCTGTCTGCCTGTGGGACTCACCAAGAACTGTTTAGGGAAGCTGCAGGAAGAACCTTCATAAGAGGAAGCTCTTTTCCTAAAATGAATGGAGAGCAAACTCAGGGTCTGTGAGGGGTGGAGAATATATCACTGCTACCTTGGCTTTCCAGGGGATGGGGTTGTGCCAGAGTCCTGCCCTCCTTACAGCTGCCTGTTTGCAGGGGCTGCTTTTCTTGCATGGTTTTTTCTGTATTCCCAGAGTATGGGGCACAATCAGTGTTTTTTATAATACCAGATGCCCATAAGTACCCTTTTTCCTCTCATTTCACATTCTTGCTTTGATAAACTATTTCAGGTCCTATACCTGACCCTCCCCTAACAGAAAAAATCATTGGGTAAATGGCCCCTTTCAATGACTGTGTGATATCTGACCCACCTTGGAGACAAGGGCTGTCAGAAAGCCTCCTTTTTGATCCCAGCACAGGCCCAGGCTAGCTGTTACCACTTGGCTCAGCATTATAAGAAAGGCAGGAATGCAGGTCTATTTTCTTGTTTTAGTCTGATGCCACAGCTTAGGATAATATATTGGCACATTCCCATGAGTTTTCCCACAAGGCCTGACTCTGTTCCATGTTCTCTTTCTCAAAGCAGACAACTTTGAAGGTAGGAGTGAACCAAGAAAAATTTGCATGTCTTTCATCTTTGGAAGATTTTATATGCTTACACTTTTTTTCAATTAAAAATGTCTCTTCATTGGTCTTAAGAGAATGCATAGAATTCAGGCTCGTGATTAATGATTCTCAAGATTTTCTTCCCTAGTCTAGCCCTTTGCAACCTTACATTAATGTAGTTGACCCTGTGCATATTGTTACAGTAAATGCTGTTCTAGATACAGATTTATTCAGATTCCTTTGATATACCTAAAAGGTTCCCTCAAATTACAGATTCATTAGGACAAGAAGCAAGAACATACTCTTGGTGTTTTAAGCCATGAAAAGTAGTGCCTCTCTGCACTAAGTGCTAATAGAATCATTTTGTTCTGCCTCCTTTTTAAGAACATGTTTGATGATGAATTGGGGTCAGCGACTTTCATTTGTGGAATGAAAAGTAGCTATTCAACCTACTCTTGGGGTATATAGAACATTTTCCAGGTATCTGTGCCTCTTCCATTACAGATAAATTCGACTTAAACATTTAACACTGAAGGAGGCCAAACTTGATGCCTGAAAGAATGGCAAATTTGATCCTTTGCTAAGATGAGCCCAGCCACACTGAAAGGGCACCCACAGGTCAGTTTAGTTGCCTCCTAGTTTCCCATACAAAGCTGACAGAGTTGTCTTCCTGTATGTAGATGTCTTAGATCCCCTTTGTGTGGCAGTAGGATGTGGGGTTGTTTTGCAGGGAATGCAGATTGCTAAGTTCTTTGGTGCTTTATTGCTGAGAGTAAATATTGTTTTAGCCACACAGGCCTCTTTCTGAAGCTTTTATAGAGAACTTATGGTCCCAGCCACTTTATGAATGGTATGCTATTTAAAAAATCCAGGCCAAATCCTATTTTAACCAACTCAGGATATACATCATCTTCAGTTAAACTAGAATTTTGTTTTTTTCTAATACCCATTAATAAGTGGGCCATTTTGGAGGATTAAAAATCTTGGATGTTGCGTAAATGATTTTGTTGTACACACATTTCTTGCCAACAGTATTGAAATGTAATTGCTTATGTGTTCATGTATTACAATTTTTATCCCACACAGGCATATTAGTAGAGTGGGGCAGGAAAAGAGATCCCTTCAGTGTCTCTCTCAGGCCAGAGTCTCCATTGAATTGAGTCTGGCTGCAATGACAGTTGGTTTTAATGATACCAACCTTCACATCTCTCTAACTGGGAAATGGCCAGAGAGTGTCAGCTTCCCCAGTTCTGAAGGACTCTCAGCCAGACATGAAATGGGAGTCTACTAACTGGTATGGAAGGTGACAGGAAGAACCAGGGGATGACTCCTTCAGTATTGTTCCTTCTTTATACTGCTAATACATCCCATGGCCCTGAGAAGCCCTATCACGCTTTCAGTCTGTCCCCAAGAAACTGCTTTAGAAGGTAAATAGGGAGGGAAGAAGGTAGCCCAAAGTACAACTCACCCATTCTTTTATATTGGTTAAAGAGATAGTTTATTTCTGCAAAAGAGAGTTTGGCAGATTTTGAAAATGAATAAGAACAAGAAAAAATTTTGGCTTTTTCTGGGGGTGTTGGGGAGTTATAGGAGTTTCAGAGTCAGAAGAGTAAAAAAAAATAGCTCTTGGAATGGTTAACCTTTTTAAAGAACTGCCTCATGGTTTAAGAGTTGTGGGAAAAAAGAATGACTTAGCTGAGGAGTAATACTAAGAAAATAACAACTTGAGTAACTCAGAACTATGCTTTTTAAAATCAGGCATAAATACTAGTGTGCTTGGATCCCATTGTACAGAATTTACTGTATAAAACATCTTTCCTTTTACTCTTGTTCCAGTTCTCTATCCTTTTTTTATATTCTGCTTTAACTTCATTTGTCAGGCAGACTTTACCAGGGTCTCAAGTCAAGCATTAACCTAAAATAAATGTTAGTCATCTTGCTGGTATGGAGAACTTTCAGTCATGGTCATTAGCTTGCATGAAGCTAGAGTTGAATGGTATTTAATCACTGTAGGCAATACCTGTGAAGGGCATACTTGGCTTAATAGTGTTGGTTTTTAAAACAATGCTTATATGGTAAATCCTGTAAAATAAGAATCCAAGAGAACTTTCTGAGACAATCCTACAAACTGGACCACTCACTTCCCTTCAATTATTTCTAGTCTCTTGTAGATCTAATCAGTCTGAGATTAAACCTTTGAAAAGTGTCAGTACTCCATGTATACTGCTAAAATGAAGTTAAATTTGCAAAGTGTTACTTCACACTGGGTATATTAATCTGGGTTATAAATGAAGGAGACATACTAATGATAGAAATCCCTGCTTTTAACTGGGAGAACAGGGCTTTTAAAATGTTGATCTCAAGTAATGATATGCAGTAGTCTGTGTGTGTCTGAAATACATTCTGTTCTCAGAGATTTCTAAATCCTCATGTTCCAGTGATTTGGGCATGGGTTCACTAGCAGATACACAGCTTGTTCCTATACTATTCTGACTCATCCATAAAGCCAGGTTCTTGCTGTCTTCTACCCTAACTTCAAGGTTAGGGATAGAGGACCCCTAACCTTGGAGGGTTAGGGGTCAAGGTCTTTTAAAACTCTGGATCTGGGCATTTGTCTATTCTTAAGCATCAATCATAATTGGAGCTCGAAGGGCTGTGAATTATGCAAAAAGTAAATTATCTTTTTAAATTATTTTTTTAAAGGTTTCAAGAAAAAACACTCGAGTCTGCTACTTATGAAATCCAGTTCTTAGTAATGGAATATCTAAGATTCATATTTGGACTTTGTCTTGATTTGCTTTTCTCAATTGTGCTTTGAAGTAAATAAGTTTTGTTAAAAATTAAAATTTTTATTAGATTCAACATCAATTGGAGATTAATTAATTGTGTGTAGCACAGTGCTTTTACAGTAAGACTGGCATGAAATACTAAACACTGGATTTTATAGTCAGGTTAAAAGGTCAAGGAGTAACTACTATAAGTATTGCATTATGTTTTGATCATCTCACTTTTCTGTTTCTGTCTACAGAACATTCAACCTTACCCAGGTCTGGGTTTTAGAACAGCTGAGCTCACTCATGTTGTTAGGTCTAATCTCCTTACCAGGCCCTGTATGTGAGACTTGTTTGAAGTTTGGTAAATAGGAGGATGTTGGTTGTTACTACACTGAAACATTTTGAATGAGTGAAGCTCTGTTATAAAGGGAAAATAATACTATAATATGAAGAGAAGTAAGATATGTAGGAGTCCTTTAAATGGTGCTTTTGTATCCTTTAGTGCTGACATGCAGAGCTGCTTTTCAATACTTAATAGAGGAGTAGCATTCAAGAATGTATTTTAAAACTTTTATTCAAATGTAATTTGTCACTGTACACTGACATGTCTGAAAATTATGTGATGTAACACATACATAAATGTGTTTTTCCATAAAGCTATTGAATAAAAGTATTACACAGCAATGTTTGAATTCTTCATTGATTACTAATTATATTATCAAGATCTATTTGCCTTGTTAATCTCAGGACCTAAAGAATGTAACTTGCCATATAGACACATATGAATAAAAAGAGAAGTCAGGGGTAGGATACAAGTGAGATCATCTTTACATCTGCCACTTTTTCTCTTTGTTCCAAAGTATGCTGACAGTAACTAGAGAAGTACAAACCTAGTGATTTGATTTTCAGCATTTCTGTGAACTGCACACTTAGCTATCCAGGGCTGGATTAGTTCTGGTCCTAGACTAATGTTTTCACCCCTGGCTACACATTCATATAACCTATGCAGGGTCCATAGAAATATTGAAGTCCAGTCCATTACCTTTACTCCAATCAAATGAAAATCTCAGGTAAGAGGTTCAGGCATAAAGATATGTAAACTCTCCAGATGATTCTTATGTATATTCAGGGATGAGGACCACTGTCATTCTTCATTTGCCAGATATATGCTTCACCATATGAGAACACATACTTCATTCTGACAGTAAATCACTCAGGTGGCTTTGTTCAGGGCCATGATTGTTAAGATTTTTTGTTTTATATCCCTTTGTTTTACAAAGTTTGTGCATAGCTGGCCTCTGGACTTCCAAAAACAGCACAGCCAGGCTCCTTTATATTTTCTGCTCTAAAGATGGAACTGAGTTAAATTTCCTTCAGGGAGAGGAGAATGATGTTATGGGAGTGACTGGAGGGTGAGAAGAATAGAGTTGAGAGAAGTAGGGATATATACTACTACAGGTAATGAAGACCTATACAAAACTAGACCAAAACAGTTAACCTCAAATGTTAATAGCAGGTCAAGATATGCCTAAACACTATATAGAGAGAGTGGTAGATGTCACGTGAACTCAGCCTCTGGCATAGAATATTCTAAATATGTACTCCAAATCACTGAAACAAATGGCACCAGAATTCTATCAAGGCTCAAACTTCCATTGATTGGTGCATGCTTTTTAAAGCACTTGTATCTTGCTCAGTTGGCTAGGGGTCTTTAGTTGTATCCCTTTCAAACCCCCTGCTCCCCAGCATTGACAAATGGTTCAGAGACATTGTCAGTCTCCCTCCCCAGCCTGTGTGGTCACTGTTCATCTAGCAGCACATATGCAGGTATAGAGTACCACTGCTTTTCCATAACCTATTCTGCAGGGAACTACTTCACATGGCGTGGAATTGTAGCTCAGCCTCCACATGGAAAACCAGTGGGGAGCAAGTGGCATGCAGGACCACGCCCACGGAGAGGTTTTCCCATAGGGAATCAAGCCTGCATTGTAACTAGACTGCTATGAGACTTGCTTTCACTAAAACTCCCTCACCCTGAATTGAGGCAGCAAGGGCTTACTGCAACTTCCTAAAATCTGACCTTAACCTCCCAAGTATGGAGTGTGTCCTGTTCAACCACTTTTCCCCTTGGTCTGCAACATCCTTCTCTTTGAATTAATTAGCAACATTCTTTCCTTTGTTATCTGTAAAAGGTAGTCCCCTGCAGTGAACCTGCGCATAGTAAATGAGGACTACCCTCCATGTAAAGTACCCAGAGAAGCAATAAAAGGCTGTCCAGGCAGGGAGTGGGTCTCTGGCCCTCTTGCCCTCTCTCCCTCTCAGAGAGTGGTCATGCCATCCCTTTTTCTCCACAGGACTTCTGTTGTCCATGTGAATTTTTTCTCTAGCAGCCATAACACACAGATCCTGCAAGCCAGGATCTGCCACACTATTCCTTCATTCCAGGGCACTTACACTGTCTGAAGATAAACTTCATACTTTTCTATCAGAATTCTTCAGGCACTCAGTTGTGTTCTGAAGGAGACTCCTGTTGAGAATTTTCTCTTCATTGACTTTCCAAGGAGGAGGGGAAGATTCTTTGTCAGAGATCAGAAGACCTAAGGTCAATATACTATATGATATTTTAATACCTAAAAGTAGGTTCTCACAGACTTATCAACTACTCTTAAACTAATTTCCCTTCATTACAGCTTCCAAAACCCTTCTGCTAGTGATAGCTTATGATGAGAACGTCAGGTAAGAATATTGAACAGAGACCCAAGATGGCAGAGGAGTAAGTAGAAGCAACACTAACCTTCTCCCAGGACCAGTCTGGAATTACAACTAAATTATAGAAAAATCATCCTGAATAACCAACTGATCACTAGGTGAGGACAACCCTTATAACCACGGACACCCAAAAGCAACAGCTGAAGTCTTGGACGATATTTAAGTGTCCAGGGGTTTCACCCTGAGAAGCATGGGGTCTTAACCCCAAGCTGAGCTCATCAGCCTATAGCAACAGAACTGGGAAAGGAACCCGAATAACACAACTGTGAAAACCAGTGGGGTTTCTGTCTGCCAGGGAAAATGGCTGGAGACTCAGAGAGCCTCTGAAAGGGGCAACACACAAAATTCCATCTGTAGCCATTTACGCTGTGATTTGGCAGAGGAAGGACAGAGTGGATTAGACACTTGAGGAGAGTCTGGGGCTGGTGGCTGGAGAGAGCACTGAAGGAACAGCCACCAAGATCCCTGTGCTAAGCCATTCCCCATACTGCAGGAGTCATCTTTCACAGGCAGAGCAACCCCCTCCAAGTGGCATCAGCCTGAAGGGAAGCAATAGTCCATCCCACCAGAATTACTCTGCCCCACCCTGTGGTGCTTAAGCCCTGCTGCTGAGGAGTACAGCTGGAAGACTTTTTACTCTTTAACCCTACAGAAAGCCTGCAGGCAAAGGCAGATTGTTGGGAGCTCTGAGGCTTCAGCTGACCCACCTCCAGGCCTGGTCAGCTGAAAGCCAGCCTTTGTGCACAGGCTGGTTCTTTCTGCACACATCCAGGACTAGCAGAAGTAGACACACACTATGAATCACTGGTAGCTCCAAACAGGTTCCCTAGAACCAGTCACAGGCATGGTTTGACTTAGGTGTGCACCAGAGTGTTGTAGATCTACCTAATACATTGAAACATTTACAAACAAGCAACCAAAATAGGAAGACAAAGAAACAGACTCTAAACCAAAGAACAAGAGTATTCTCCAGAAGAAGAACTTGATGCATGGAGGCAAGCAATTTATTAGAGAGTTTAGAGTAATGATTATAAGGGTACTCAACAGCATGAAAGAAGACAAACCATAAAAATAGAAAAGTCATAAATAAAGAATGCAATATCTGAAATAAATGATACACTGGAAGGAAAAAACAGTAGGTTAGAGGAAGCAGAGGATCAAATCAGTGGGTGGGAAAACAAACTAGAAAACACACCTAGGAAGTACAGAAAAAAGAACAAAGTACTTAAAAACGAGGAGAGCTTAAGAAACATTCTGCACAACATCTGCATCACTGGAATATCAGAAGGAGAAGAGAGTGAGCAAGGGACTCAGAACCTATCTGAAGAAATTATGACTAAAAACTTCACTTATTTGGTGAAGGAAAGAGACATACAAGTCCAAGAAGCTCAGAGAGTCCCAAACAAGTTGGTCCCAAAAAGGCCTACACTGAATACATCATAATTAAAATGACAAGGCTTAAAGACAAGGAGAAAATCCAAAAGCTACAAGAGAAAAGCAGGTAGTTACATACAGAGGAGCACCAATTAGACTGTCATCTGATTTCACAACAGAAACATTTCAGTCCAGAAGGGAATGGCATGAAATATTCAGGTGATGAAGAACAAGGACCTACAATCAAGGTTACTTTACCCAGCAAGGCAAAGATTTAAGACTGAAGGAGAAATATGGAGCTTCCCAGACAAAAAAAAAAATGCTAAAGTAGTTTGTTAACACCAAACAAGTACTGCAACAAATGTTAAAGGGTTTGTTAGAAGGATGAGGAGGAGGAAAACAAACAAACAAACAAACAAACAAACAAAAGAAAAACAGAAGAAAACAGTCCAATAATAAAATGGCACTAAGTTTATATCTATCATAAATCATCTTAAATGTAAATGGCTTAAATGTTCTAATGAAAAGACATAGGGATGCTGAATGGATAAGGAAATAATACCCATATGTATGTTGCCTTCAAGAGACCCATCTCAGGTAGAAAGTAAAGGGATGGAACAAGATATTTCATGCCAATAGAAATGAAAAAAAAATGAAGAGACCCATCTCAGGTAGAAAGTAAAGGGATGGAACAAGATATTTCATGCCAATAGAAAATAATACCCATATGTATGTTGCCTTCAAGAGACCCATCTCAGGTAGAAAGTAAAGGGATGGAACAAGATATTTCATGCCAATAGAAATGAAAAAAAAAATGAAGAGACCCATCTCAGGTAGAAAGTAAAGGGATGGAACAAGATATTTCATGCCAATAGAAAATAATACCCATATGTATGTTGCCTTCAAGAGACCCATCTCAGGTAGAAAGTAAAGGGATGGAACAAGATATTTCATGCCAATAGAAATGAAAAAAAATACTTATATCTAACAAAATCAACTTTAAGACCAAGAATACAGTAAGAGACAAAAAAGGACCCTACATAATGGTAAAGGGAACAATCCATCAAGAGGTATAACCCTAGTAAACATTTATACACCCAACATAAGAGCATATAAGTATGTAAAGCAAATCTTAATGGACATAAAGGAAGAGATTGACAGAAATACAGTCATAGTCAGGGATTTTAAAACCCCTTTAACTTCAATGGATATATCTTCCTGATGGAAGATCAACAAGGATACAGCAGCCTCAAATGACACACTAGATTAAATGGATATATCTTCAGAGCATTTCACTCCAAAGCACCAGAATATACATACTATTCAAGTGCACCTGGAACGTTTTCAAGGACAGACCACATGTTAGGACAAAAAAAACAACACCAAACCAAGTCTCAGTAAATTTAAAAATATTTAAAATCTTAAAAAAAAAAAAAGCCCTGGCTGGTGTAGCTCAGTGGATTGAGTATGGGCCTGTGAACCAGACAATCACGGTTCGATTCCCAGTCAGGGCACATGCCCAGGTTGCAGGCAGGTTCCCT